CGGCCGTATTCGGTATTTTTAAAATTTAACAGCATTTTTTAAGGATTTTATTTTTTTTTAAGTTCCAAATTCGTTCCATATGGTGGAGGGTATTCAAAGTTCGACCTGGCCGAAATTACTGATTTTTAACTTGTTCTTGAAAAATTATAACTCTTTTAAATGTGATATAACAGTCCGATTGTCTTCGAATTACACACATCACAATATTTTTATTAACCCAAGATCTGGTCCACACTTTCTGCTACCTCCCTTTCTGCTTTTGAATATGCTTAAAGGTAATAAAACGCGAAATTAACATGCGATTCCATTCAGACTTGGTACATCTCAATATTTCCAACAACGCAAGATATGTTATAAAAATGTTAGAGATCGGACCTTTTCTTCTGGTTCCCCTCCCCCACATCATCCAAATCTCTTCAAATTTGCTAAAACAATATCTTTTGTGAAGATGATATATATCTTCGAACCTCTTCGGGTACCTCACCCACAAAGGGTCACCTTTTGCAGTACTTTTACCTGTCATTTGTCGACTACATTTGGTACTCCACAGAGGGTCAATAGTTGGAAAAATTATCACAAAAGTCGAAATATATTTTAATAATCGAACATTGGCTGATGTATATATCTGTCGGCAAAACCGACTGATACTTTTTAACTTGTTTATGTTTCACGCCCACACATTTGGCCTGCCGATTTCACCGAAAATATATTTGACTATTTCCATATGGAACCGTCTCAGCGATTGGATAAATGATTATTTATATTTAGTTTCTCTTCTATTAGGTAGGGTCCACACTATTCGATCATACCAATCCCAATCGTATTTTTAGTTACGTCTTTTTTTCAACCGTGGTTAACTGGTTCCACGCATGGTTAGCCATATGGTGGCTAGCTGGTTAGCAAGTAAAACATAAATTGTAAAAACCGAAACAATTTTGCTTATTAAAATGCAAATTGACGAAAGTACCTACACTTCGTCGTGGTCGGCCATCGTGTGAAAGAAGAAAAAAGATAACAACAACTTGGAATAACTGCACAGTGTGTTTCACAAGAGCGCCAGATATACCTTGACCACACCTAATCAAAAAAGCGAAATACAAATCAATCAATATTAAACTGAATTGTATGAGGAGACTCTATAACCCATTGATTTGTTTGTATGTGAACACGTCACAACGTTCACACACTGAAACACATACATATTTCATAAAACAATGAATTCGAGTTATGAAATTTACATTTTAACAATTAAAAAAATAAACGTAATAATGCTATTCAATAAAGCTGCTGGTTGGCTGCAGTTAATAAACCCTTTACTTCAAACATCTTTTTTTAATTGGTTTTTATAGAGAACTTATTTTTTTTTATTAATTTTCGATTGGGATTTATATTTTTTTGTTTTTGAATACAGGTTATAATAATTGGGTGGTATCAAATATTAACAGAGTAATTAATTAAATACTTGCTTTGAAATGTTTACGGGTTTTATTGTGGGGCAGTTGTTCAAATGTCAGTTATGCAACCAACGGAAGATTTCCGGAACACATTTTGAAAAGTGACCAATCTTTTGATTTTGTTGCTGGTTGCAATTAAGAAACCCTTAAATGCAAGCATCTTTTCTAATTGATTTTATGGAGAACTTTTTCTATCTTAATTTACGATTGGAATAATTTTTTTTTTGAATACAGGTTATATTAAATGGGTAATATAACATATTAACAAATTAATTAATTAAATGCTTGATTTGAGATGTTTATGTTTTGTTTTTGGGGTAATTGTTCAAATGTCAGTTATGCAACCAACGAAGAATCTCCTGATACATTTTAAAGATTATTCATAACACTTTTAATGTCTCTAGTAAAAAATAATACATATTTGACGTCAAGAGAACGAGTTGAAATGTCAAATGTCAGTCGGATCTGCCGATATGTGTATATCCTCAGTCAATGTCAGTTAATTGTAATATATGGGCGAGGTGCAGAAGGAGTGGACCAATATTGCCCATTCCATTCCGAACTAAGTTTCATAACTTACATAAGATATGCGGTAGTTTTTGTGGGAAAATATTGAACTTTTTAATGCAACTACTAGAATATCTCAATTTTAAGTTTGATCTATGGTTGATAGAATAGCAGACACAAAGTTTGATGAAAATCACAGACATGTTTCTTATGTTATAAGGATTATAATTATGCAAAATGTTGGCCGCTTGTGAGGGAGATACCAGAAGAAATAGGTTGATATTGTCCATTTTCGCACCTGGCCTGGCACTGATACAAATATTATGATCTGCAAAGTTGTTACTAACTCTCTTTACGAGGTAAACTATTTTGTTTGAAAGTGTTAATTTTTTGTGTGGGATGTACCGGAAGGAATGGAATGGGCGGTTTCACCCACATTTGTCCACGGATTTGTCTAAAAATTGGTATTTGTGGTTCGTAATGGGTTCTAGACCGATATTCAGTATTTTGTTAATCTCAGTCACATTCACCGAAATTTACGAAATTATGTCCAATTTGTCTAAGACTCGCAATAGATTACAATTTTTATACCCTCCACCATAGTATGGAGGGTATATTAATTTTGTCATTTTGTTTGTAACACCTCGAAATACATATTTTAAACTCCACAAGGCGTATATATTCTTGATCAGCATAAAATTCTATGTCGGCTTAACGACGTCCGTCCGTCTGTGGAAATCACTGTAGCTTCCGAACGAAATGAAGTAGGTTGATAAAATGTTACTCAAATGTGTATCATGTCTGCAGGACTTTTGGTATTGGACCATGTAGGTACACGTTTTGGTATAGCCCCCATATAAATTAACTTCCCTATTTTCGGTATATTGATGATTTAAGCGACATTATTCACCAGAAATGTTTCAAATTTGGTATTTGAAGTTCGTAATGGATATTACAGGGTTGCCCATATTCGACGGACCCATCTGGCAGCGCCATAACTTTTGACAGAGATGTCACATCGCTTAATGACATACCGCGCTTGAAGCGTCAGTCCAAGCAGATTTTTACCATGAACCAATACACGCCACGCGAGCGCTCTGAAATAGTTGAAATTTACATTCAACAAAAGAAATCAATTGTAAAAATTCAACGTGCTTTTAAAACATTAAAAAATGTGAGAAGTGCGCCTTCTTAGAAAACCATTAAGCGTTTATACGAAAAATATTCGAATGGTAAGGCTCTTTCTAATCCGAAGAAGCCATATAAAAGTCGACCAAGGCGATCGGCCGAGAATATCGCTGCCGTACGAGCCAGTGTTGAGAGGTCCCCAAGATCATCCCAAAAACGCCGTTCTCAGCAGTTGGGCATGGCTCGGTCCACTTTACAACGGATTATTCGCATTGATTTGCATTTGTTCCCGTACAAAATTCCATTGACGCAAAGAATGTTGTTTTGGAACAAAATTATCATGTCCGATGAAGCCCATTTCACATTGAATGGGACCGTAAATAAGCAAAATTGCCGTTTTTACGCCACTGAAAATCCTCAGGAGATTCAAGAAGTGCCTCTTCATGACGAAAAAGTCACAGTTTGGTGCGGCGTTAGTGCGAAAACGGTCATTGGGCCGTTTTTCTTCCAAAATGAAAATGTCCATGCTGTTACCATCAATCAGAAGCGTTATCGCGACATGATGACCAATGTTGTGATGGCAATTATTCGTCGAAAGCGTATGAGGCAGTTCTGGTTTCAACAAGATGGCGCTCCACCGCACACAAGTCGCATAACAATCGATTTTCTGAAGAATTTGTTTCCGGGCCGTTTGATGTCGAAAAGTGGTGATTTGGAGTGGCCACCGTGTTCGCCCGATTTGACGCCGCCTGACTTCTTCTTGTGGGGATATTTGAAGTCAAAGGTTTACGTTAACAAGCCAAGGACCGTAGAAGAGCTCAAGGACAACATTTGTGAAGAAATAGCCGCTATTCCGGCCGAAATGTTGGCAAAAACGATGGAAAATGCAGCAAAAAGGGCACAATACGTCATCAACGCCAGAGGCGGCCATTTGAGAGATATCATATTCAAAAATTGATGTAAACAAATCTACTTGGAACAAATTAAATGATTAACATTGCCAACCGCCAAATTTTTATTTTTTTCTTTGATTAAAAAAAAAAAACATGGGTCCGTCGAATATGGGCAACCCTGTACGTTCGAAAGATATTGTGATTACAACAGACAGACGGACAGATACCCTCCATAGAATGGTGAAGGGTATACAAATATATAATTACACAAAATTTTGGTCGCTTGTGAGGGGGGTACCAGAAGAAATGGGTTGATATTGTCGGTGTTTTAAGAAATTTACATCGCATAGTAACCTGTATAGAGTTGGGAAGTTTTGGCCTCTTTTACATTTTTTAATACCGCCAGCCATCATTATTTGATGCGGCCAAAACGTACATAATAGGAATAACAGTTTCAGTTCCTAGTACTCTTAGGAACAAATATGTTTCGGGGCATTTGCAGTCGATCTAGCGGTGTTCGTCCGTCTGTCTGGCTGGCTGGTACGCACAATAACTCTCAATAATGCGAAATAAGCATCTGATTCATTGTCAACTTGACACATTGCAAAATTTCTTCTGACACAAGATTTGTTGTGAAGATGGTAGATATCGGTCCACTCCTTTTGGTAACTCCCCACAGAAAATAGGTTTAGAGGTGCCCAGAGATAGACTAGTTTTTTTATGACCAGAAGGTGATCTTTATAGCCAACCGGAATGTGCTTGTTCCATGGGCCACATTAAAATGTGATTACATTGCCAGGTCATGACAGGTTATCATTATGTGTTCTCTAATTTTTAAATGATCTGTACCACTCAAAGTTATGTAAATAATAAATTCAAAACATCAAAATTTTTTCAACATTCTGATTTCATTAAATGGCAACATTAATAATTTATCTACTTTTCTTCTAAATCAAAAATTCTATGAAATTTGTTCATTGCATTTTTTTTTCTTACAAATATTCTTTACATTTTGTAGGTCATTCATGGTGTCCAAATCGAAACGGTAGAAACTCCAGTCGATGAATTGCAAAATTTACAAGAAACCGAAGACGACGCGTCTGTTGGCAAGAAGGTGGCAGCAACGCAAACGTCATCACATTCACGTTCGACAAGAAGTAAACGCAGCATTGAGGAGCGCCCACTACGTATTTCACTTATCTATGATAATTCCGTTATTGGGTAAGTACTTGAAGAACTAGTGACCAACTGACCGACAGACCGAGCGAACGACCGATTCCCCGGCTGGCTGGCTGACTGACTGACTGGTTAAAAATACTTCTACGTATAATTTCTGATGACAGGGTGACCGGGCCTGTTCTCAGACAATCAACTTTTGAAAATGTATTGCAGCACTCGCAACGAAGAATTCATGTCAGAGACTTCTCTTTCGTCATTACTTTACGTTACGTTCTTGTTGGAGTTGCTGTAATCTGTCTGCGGGACAGACGATCGGCCGGCTAGTCAATGAGCCAATAGAATTCTACAATAAATAAAAGCTGTAGAGAACAACACATTAAGAACGCACACACCAACAATCACGCAGGTGACACAATAATCCATTTGAGCCAAACTGAAAAAAAAACGTAACCAACGTAAAAAACGTAAACGTAAGTTGTTATCTGTAGTCTACTGGTTGAATGGATGAAGCGAAACATTTGCATAGAATATCAATGCAAATCCGAAATATGCAATCTGATTATAAATTGAAATATTACAGCACAATCTACATTACGCCAGAATGTGTCAGCTTTAGTCTAATTCGCAATAAATTGAAAAAGAATATTTTTTATAAGAACATGCGGAATGATTTCCTGCATCAACTTATCAACATGTTTCTAAGAATAGTGTATTTTTTAAAGATAGACAATTTTGAAATGTCATGCTACAATTTGTTCGAATTCTAGTCAAAGATTCTTTAACTAAATGGGAAGGGTTTTCCGTATTTTGCACATTTTGTTTTAGTATAGTCCATATTCTACAAAACAATGTAAATGATTTGTTTAAGTTTACAATGTCTGACTAAAATCTTACAAATTTAAGAAAAAAGGAGAAAAAAAGATTTAAAAGTTTTGAGCCACATCCACAAGAAATATTCTATACTATATAACGGGATATTTAGTTAATTACACCGCACAGCCATTAACCTTCAAATCTGGCGATGTAAAATTTGTTGTGCATGAAAGCTGTAACGATGACATACAGTCTTTGCGATGATGCTCGAGTTGTAGCAGTTGGCTCGATGATGCTATGGTCGGTTGGATCGCATTTAAAAAGAGGAATGAGATGCAAAATCATTTAGCTTAAAGAATCAGAAAAAAACGAGACAATTTTGCATGCTACTTAATTTACTACTATTTCTAACCCATAGAAATTCTTATTACCAAATTATAGTTTAATTAATTATATTTTATCGCCAGTTACTCCTTACAAAGCGGAATTCGCACTCCTTATTTCAACATAAAAATATATAAGAAGTAAGTATTTATACTCTACACCACAAGGTGGTCAGGGTATTATGTCTTTGTGCATTTGTTTATAACAGGCAAAAGGAAACGAGATAGACAAATAGTTCCTTTTGATGATATGCATAGAATCACATTCTGAGTCGATTTATGCATGTCCGTCCGTCCGTCTGTCCATGTATTTTTGTAAACAAAACACAGTTCGCATTTATTGTCCTATCCAGATGAAATTTTGCACAAATCATTTGTTCGGCCCAAGGACGAACCCTATTGAAATTGGAGAGAATCGGTCAAAATTTAGATATAGCCCCCATATATATCTTCGTTCGATTTGCCTTTGATTGTGCACCAAACGTGTAATATCAGGCCGAATGGTATGGAATTTTGCACATACAACCAGATTAGGCCTGAAAATAAGTATGCCAAATTTGATCGAAATCGGTTCAGATATAGGTATAGCTTCCATATATATTGTTCATCCGATTTGTTATTTTTGTCCTCCGCAGCCGTAATATGCACTCTGTAACAACAATATTTTAGGAAAATATCAAATACAACTCAGAAAAACACTTGCTAAATTTTATCGAGATCGGTTCAGATTTGGATATAGCTCCCATATATAACTTCGTCCGATTTACCTTTGATTGTGCACCAAACGTCTAATATTTGTCCAAATGGGATGGAATTTGGCACTTACGTCCGAATTGAGTCTAGAAGCTAGTATGTCAAATTTGGTTAAGATCGCTTCAGATATAGCTTTAGCTCCCATATATACTGTTCATCCGATTTGTTATATTTGTTACCCACAGCTGTAATATGCACTCCGTAACAACAATATTCAGGGAAATATATCAAATACAGCTCAGAAATATCTTTGCCAAAATTTATCGAGATCGGTTCCGATTTGGATATAGCTCCCATATATATCATTATCCGATTTCAAATTAATTTTGCACCAAATGGGCAATACAAGTCCGAATATTCTTCGGCATATTTAGTCCTTTGAACTTTAAATTATAATTATAATCATAGCGTGTATGATTGAATTCTCCCATAAAAACTTTTAATTGTTATGTGGAGCTCTACTAAATTAGCAAAGTGGTGTAGGGTATCATAAAGTCGGTCCCGCCCGACTTTAAGACTTTCTTTACTGGTTTTTACTCGTTTTAAATTGCCACAATGAGTCAGCAAAAAGGTTTAGTAAAACAGTCTAAATATTTTCAGGACTCTGGAATTAAATTAATTAATTTTTTATGTTACATTGTAATGTAAAAAGTATGTTTAAAAATAAAGATTTGCAATTATTTTTGCAAATGACCGACCTTTAGTATCCTAAATATGCGGCATATTGAGAATTTGATGTGTATATGACGCATGGTCCCATACATTGTCTATATGCTAAATATAGGGGGTATCCAGTAGTATGATGATTTTGGCTACATTATTATACTCTCCACCATAGTATGAAGGGTATATTAAGTTTGTCATTCCTTTTGTAACACCTCTAAATATACACTTTAGACTCCACAAAGTATATATATTCTTGATCAGCATAAAATTCTATGTCGATTTAGCGATGTCCGTCCGTCTGTAGAAATCACTCTAGCTTTCGAACGAATTGAAGTAGATTGATAAAATTTTACTCAAATGTATATTATATCTGCAGGACTTTTGGTGTTGAAAATGTAGGGCCATGTAGGTCCACGTTTGGGTATAGCCCCCATATAACGGTACCTCCTTATATTCGGTATATTGAAGATTTTACCGACATTATTCACCGGAATTGTTTAAAATTTAGTATTTGAAATTCGAAATGGATACTACAGCCTAAGACAGAAGACTGTCTGTGTAGGTCCACGTCTTCGTATAGCCTCCATTCAACGGAGGTACCTCCAGATATTCGGTACTTTGGTGATTTTAGCGACACTATTCACCGGAATTGTTTCAAATTTGGTATTTGATGTTTGTAATACTACAGCCTATGACAGGAGGTTGTCTGTGCAGTCCAAGTCTTCGTATAGCCCCATATAACGGTACCTACCGATATTCGGAATTTGGATGATTTTAGCGACATTATTCACCGGAATTGTCTCAAATTCGGTATTTGAAATTCGTAATGTATACTACAGTCTAAGACAGAAAATTGTCTGTACAAGTCCACGTCTTCGTATAGCCCTTATATAACGGTACCTCCCGATATTTGGTACTTTATTGTTTTTCGCTACATTATTTACCGATTTTTTAAGTTTCGCGTTTGAATATTGTAATAGCTTATGACAAAAGTTACCTATGCAGGTCTATGTCTTCGAATAGACCCTAATATAAAAGCAACATTCGGTATTTTTTAAGATTTTAACAGCATTTTTAACGGATTTTATTGTTTTTGAGAATTGCCAAATTCGTTCCAAATGGTGGAGGGTATTCAAAGTTCGGCCCGGTCGAACTTGCAGCTTTTTTACTTGCTCAATGGAATAGTCTGAAATACATGAAGTTCTTCACAGGTACCCGATCCGATGACAACAATTATCTTGATAGGACCTCCTTGCAGTATAACATCCATATAATAGTGCCTCCCGATATCCAGTTGTTTATTTGTAGCCAATTTTATACGAAATCATAAATTCCGATTAATTGCAATTCTTATCAGATTTCGGATTTAATAATCGTTTTGGTTATTCGAAACTTTGACCCTTTGTGGGGAGATACCAGAAGGAATGGTCCGATCTCTATCATCTTTATAACAGATCTTGTGTTGATAGAAAGAGGTACCAGTAGGAACTGGACCGATATTGCTCATCTCCGAACTCGATCTAAGTTTAATAATAATATTACGATGCATCAAGTTTGGACCAAACCCTTAGAGAGTTTTCGTGCCCACCAGCCAGACAGACGGACGGACAACGCTAGATCGACTTCAAATGTCCTGAAAGGGAGTTGATCCAAAGAGACCTAGGGTCTAATACCGTTATTTCGATGAGACACGTTTTGCCCGTATCAAATGATATATACCCTCTGTAGCCATATGGTTGAGGGTATAATAACGCCGGTTATTTGGATTCCCATTAGTACAACTGCTGACCAGTCTTTATTTGGTTCAAACAAACGATTTTGACTATCATACCGAAAATATAGAGTGAACGAGAATTCCTTCCCCATATAAAAATTCTAGGTTAGGTTAGATTGAAAAGAGTGGCGAAGCGATTCGCCGCATGCTCTGGCATTGGACATACACTTAAGCCAGCATAGGCCTGTTGTGCGCTCTAGACTAAGGGTTTTTAAAGAAGGCGGGCAATTTACAGTATGTTTTATTTGAAATTCAGTTGCCTATATGAAATTTCTTAACTGCCTTATATCATTTACCATGATCTGATTAAGGTCTGGTATGGAGTCGTTCCCTAAGAATTGGGATCTGATATTTGCAAACTCTGGGCATTGGCAAAGAAAATGTTCCAATGCTTCGTCATCTGCCCCACATGCCCTGCATATGCTGTTTTCTGCACATCCTATCTTGTACAGATGAGCTTTTAGGCCTAGGTGTCTCGTAAGGATGCCTGTTACCTGACTGATCTCTTTTTTACCTAGTAATAAAATGTTCTTCGTTTTTATCTCTTCGAGATCGCCCCATAAGATTTTTGTGGTTTTCCCTACACCCTTATTGTCAAAAAATTTATCTTTATCTTATAGTTGGCCAATAAATATTTATTAATTACATGACCAATTGAAGTATTACACGGATCCTATAAAAATTATTTTCTAAAGAATCGCATACATTACCAACGCCATTAGCCATCACCATTTCCTTTGTGTTTGCCAATAAAAGTCTATATATTAAATTTTACTAAACATTATGAGTCCATTAAAAGATTTTATTCTGCAATAACCATTTAATCTCTATAAATCTCATGATGCACTGACTCTTCTTCTCCACATTCACTAGAGATTTCTTCATCATCATTCATCGGGCAATTAAATCATTTAAAATAATTTAAACTCTGGCCACAATAGAGCGCGCGCATAGCAATGCAATTCTCATGTCTAAATAGTTTACAAAAAACATCGTAATGAAAGAAACGTTTATGGTTCAATTTATGGTTGCCCAGATCAACAGCCATATAACCACTTACTGTGGACAATGGACGGCGACAACGAATATCAGAGTATCAATATCCGACTATCACGAATCAGACTATGAACACTTGTGACTATAATATGGCGTGGCTTCAATTTACAGCCACAAACAGCAGCAGCAGCATCAATGCAATTAAAAAAGATTTCTCGCATAAAGGGGAGGAAGGGCGAAGTAGAGTGCGGAAAGAATGATTCTATGTAAGAACGGTTCTTTTTTGTCATTCTTCTCATAGAATACTCGTATTGCGCCGTACACCAGCTGACTGACTCGCAACTTGTCTACGTGTCCAAGGTTATTGCATGCGAATTGCAACAAGTTCCAATGGACATTAGAACCACATCTAGAATACATCAATTGCAAACAAAAGTGAATTTAACATTGCATTTTTTATGATGTGGCGATACTAAATATGACCATGTAATTGGCCAAGAAATGAGCATTAGAACAAACTTCACATTGTCTTGGAGTCTTTTATAAGTCTTTAGCGAATTAAGAAAAAAAAAACTTGTAGACTTTGACACAGACCACCATTTGTACTTCCTACATAGAGAAGCCGGCCGGCTGGCTGTTGACTAAAAAAATTTTTATTGCTAAGAATTTATAATGATTTGCAAGACAGGAAATGAAAAATTCAATATTACTAATTTCTTTTTTGTTTTCTTTCTTTCATTTCTATTATCATTACAGTTTGGATACCGATAAATTTATTCTGATCAATGTAAGTACATTTGAGTAATTAACATAATTTTAAAGCGGTGAATTATATTGTTGCCCACCTTGCTATGGCCTACTGTAACACCCACTTACATAAATGCACTAGAAAAACAAGTAAGCAAAGGCTATAGTCGTGTGGCACCGACCATGTGATACCCTACAACTCTAAAATATATGAGGTCCAAATCGATTTTTGTCGAATTTTTATACCCTACAACACCATGTCTTGGGGGTATTATAAGTTTGATTGGGCCAAAAATTATGTAACACCACGAAATATTGGTTTCCCGCATAGGAAAGTATATATGGATCTTCCTATCTCGCCGAGCTGAGTCGATCTAGCTATGTATGTCCGTCCGTCTGTCCATGTTAATTTGTAATCACTCTACAAGTCGCAATTATGGACCGATCTTCACGAAATTTAGAATGGAGGTGGGGCTAGGGTCAGAATAGAACCCTATTTCTTTTGGAGATGATCGCCTAATATCTAGGGGTTGAAATGGACCAAAAACTGAAAAAATTCCTGATTTTGCAGTTGCTCTATAGACCAATCAAAGCGGAAGTTAGCATGAGGCTAGAGCTTAGGGCTGGGCAGAAGCCTTCCAATTTTGATGGTCATCGGGTAATATTTAGTGGGTGAAATAGAACATAGAACCGCGAATATTTTTAATCCCAGCGAAATCACAAATAGATGAAGAGGTCAATTCTGACCGTTACGTAGATGCCGATAGTAAATATATCGGTTATATATAGCGAAATATATACAATGTGTATATATGCAAAGGTAGGGGATGCTAGGTAGAATGCTTATATCTCAAGAATGGCTGGACCGATTTTGACAAATTTTGTCAATTCAGAATGCCCTCTTAATATAGAAGTATGAAATCTAAAAAAATCGCAGAAAAAGATGCCAATAATGATGTTCATATAGATTTTGTAGTATTTTGTGAATTTTTTTTATTTTTTCATATTTTTTATCGCATGCGATTTATTCAATTTGACTTATACCATTTTGTAATTTTTTTCACCTTACAACACAGGTTGGGGATATTATATAAGTATTGAAAATATTGTCCGATCCTCACGAAAATTTTCACAAGGGAAGGGTTGGGCTCAGAAGGGCTAGGTCTATTGTTTTCAAGGATATCCGCAATATAATAGGGGTTGAAATGGACCAACAATTAAAAAATTTCCTGATTTTGCAGCCGTTATAAAGGTCACAAATAGAAACCAAAGTCACGAAATCTCGCATGAAGTTAGAGTTTAGAACAGCGGGTAGAATGGACCACTAATTTTGTGTGAAAAAATACCAGCATTACTTACTTAAAGGCGATATCCGAAATACACAAAAGGCGAACTTCTGGCTTTTTTATTCTGATTTCGTTGACGACTATAGCCAAATATCGTAGACAAGCAAATCATATAGATGAGTCTAAATTTGGTGATACGGAGGGGCTTCTTGATTTGGGAGATGATTGCAAAATATTTAGGTGTTCAAATTAACCAAAAACCGAAATGTTTTTCCGATCACACAATTGAAACCAATCGACACGCCTGTGAAAAGAGTTAAGGACAGGAAAGAATATTTAGCTGTATAATGGACCACAACAACTAACAGTCCGACGGAGTGCAAAGATATTGGGCAAATGTCCCTTGTCAAAATCCTAATTTCAAAAGCGAAATTTTCCAATATGGATTTGGACATAGGGAGGCTTCTAACATATTGTAGTGTTGTAGGGTATAACATAGTCGGCCCCGTACGACTATAGCCTTTGCTTACTTGTTTTAAATAACGTCACACAGTCCTGTAATAATATTGTCCTCAATTCTCTCTTCATGTAAAATTCTGTGTCGATTGGTTTTTAAATTGTGACCCTTAGTGCGACTTCAGAATCAGGAATTTTTTTTTAATTTTTTGGTCCATTTAAACCCATACAGGAAGAGATGAAAAAACTGCAACCAATTTCAGACTACTGTCATTTCTAAGCCACTCGTCCGACAGCTGTTAAAATTATGCCAGTGACAGCTCATTATATGTTTACAAGCGTTCAAAAGCAATTTGGTGAGAACTTTCAAAAAAAAATTTTTTTCGCGATGGAATTTAAGCGTGATAGTGTGATTTCTTTATATTTGGTTGGAAAACCACAAGTGGCTATCGTTAAAGCACTCCAGCATTTAAATGTCAATAAAAATTTTTTGTCTCGTTACCGTGATACTGGTAGCGTAGCTTGACGTCAAGGAAGTGGACGGAAGAAAATAGCAACATCAGAAGAAATGGTTCGAAAAGTAAAGAAGCGACTTATTCGGCAACCGCGTCGAAGAAGTAACACTTTAATGTATTTTTTGATTATTCTGGGATTATAAATATTCGCGATTTACTGGAAATTTTCGTTTTTTTTTACATAAAAGTTATAGTCTATTTTACTAGCTAAATATTATCCGATGGCCGTCCAAATTGTTAGGCTTCTGTCCCTGTCGACAGGGTGAGATAAAAAAAACTACAACAAAGTCAAACGCCATAATTTCAAAATTTTTTTAATTTTATTTTTTAATTTTATAATGAAATCAAAAAATGTCGGAAATAGTATCAACTTTTAGAAAAAGTTTAAATTTGTTCGAATTGGTCGCCTTTGGCACGAATTATGACCTTCAAATGGCCAATGAAACCGGCACATGCTGCCCTAATGTTGCTGTACGGTATCTTGCCCATTCCAAGCGAAGCGCTTGCTTGAGCTGATCGACACTTTGGTACTTTTAATGCCAACCTTCCTTTTTGGTGGCCATTGTGCACTGGAAATAAAGCGAAGAACCTCAATTTATAATCATTCTTGGGTGGTGCGTGCTGAGTCCTGTTGGAATGTTCAAGGTCTACGGCCAAAATATTTGCGTGCTCAAGGCTTTAATACACTTAACTTACTTAACTTAGCTGGCTCGAGACACAACATTTGTTCCATAAGCCGAGTTTAGAAAAGATTTCCAGGCGCGTCGGTCTTGTGCGCAGTGTTTCCAATTTGAACGACCATGTTCCGATATATTCTCTTCTACTTGGTCTTTCCATCTAATTCTTGACCTTCCCCTTCTGCGTGAACCATCAGTAGGCTGGGGCATCCTCATCCATTCGTACTACATGACCTAGCCACCGTAGTCGCTGCAGCTCGATACGTCTGACTATGTCGATGTCCGAGTATAGATGGTATAGCTCGTGGTTCATTCGACGTCGATATTCACCGTCGATGCAGATCGGCCCGTAGATCTTTCGGAGAATTTTTCTCTCAAACACTCCAAGCGCTGCCTACAAATGCTTCACATCCATACAACAGCACGGGTAGTATCAGTGTCTTGTAGAGTGTGAGTTTGGTCTGACGAGATGTGGCCTTGTTTCTGAACTGCTTACATAGACCATAGCAGCATCTATTGGCCAACACTATCCTTCTCCGAATCTCAAAACTGATGTCATTTGTTTTGTTTATGGCGGTACTGAGGTAGATAAAGTCACTGACTACCTCAAAGCTGTAGTTTTCAAGTTCCACACTTGGTCCGAGGCTAGTGGACGTCTTGCGCGTTGATACCATCAGCTTGATTTTCTCGCCAATTACTGCCAGAAACACTTTGGCAGACTCCTTCTCAATTTGTTCAAAGGTGGCTGTTACCGCTCTCAATGTTCGACCCATTATGTCGATGTCATCGGCGTAGGCGAGCAACATATGTTGTTTGGTGTACAGAGTGCCATTTCTGTTCACCTTTGCATCTCGTATGGCCTTTTCCAGCAGGATGTTAAATAGGTCACACGAGAGGCTGTCACGTTGTCTGAACCCTCGTTCGGTATTGAAGGGCTCCGAGAGGTAATTTCCGACTCTAACTGCTGACCTTGTGCCAGTTAATGTTATCCTGCATAATACACCCTCCAGAATATTTTCGCAATAATATTCGGCGTTTATTCTGATGCTACGGTCGATTAATACGAGCGGAGGGTGACTATCGGCAGTTATCACACCATCACCATGGCCGGTGCTTGAGTTCTGTTGGCCAACCGAAGGTACAAAATTTCAGTGGCCTCTTTAGCAAGTAAACGCGATCATTTTGTTTGTTTACAAACTGCTGGACAACGAATGTTTTCTCATCGTAGAAAACCAAATTCGGCAGTTCACCACTTTCGACCAAGCGAAGCAACTCTTTAGCTCTTTTGAGTCTATTTTCTTTCTGTCGCGGTGTAAGTTCTTACACTTTTTGGAATTTTAGTGGCCTACCCCGAGCTCATTTTTCTATATTTGCCGAATGGAATATTGCGATATGTTCAGCTCACGGCGACCCGGGTTTCGATCAAGTCGTTTCTTTAACTTTTCGAACCATTTCTGCTGATGTTGCTGTTTTATTCCGTCCACTTCCTTGACAACGGGCTACGCCACCAGTATCACGGTAACCAGCGATGGTACAAGATACAAAAGATTTATTCACATTTAAATGCTGGAGTGCTTCAACGATAGCCACTTGTGGTTTTCCAGCCAAATATAAAGAAATCACACTATCACGCTTGAATTCCATCACGAATATTTTTTTCTGGAAAATTCTCACCAAAATGCTTTTGTACGCTTGTAAGCAATATAATGAGCTATCACTGGAATAATTTTAACAGCTGTCGGACGAGTGGCTTAGACATGACGGCAGTCTGAAGTTGGTTGCAGGTTTTTCATCTCACCCTTTATCTCTAACTATTAGAATCCCTTTGTATATAGTCAAAACTATACAGGGTGAGATAAAAAACTGCAACAAAGTCAAACGCTATATGACTGAGGTTATAAAAACTAAAAATAACAAAATTTCTCAAAATTAAATGAAAATTTTCCAAAACGTAAAAAATACTTGAAATCGGAATTATTCTTACAAGGGGACTATTCTAAAAAGTGGGCCGATATTACCTATTTTCTTTTAAAGCTCTATCCTAACATTGCGAAATATATCTCTAACTATTAGGATGCATTTGGTCAGAACAATATAAGCGACCTAACACCATTTGGCTAAAGAACTCAGAACTCCTTTGGAGTTTTAATCTAAAAACGAGTAGTATCAAGTTTTATTTATATTTATTTTTAACCTTTTGTGATTTATTGTAAACGAAATATTTTCTTTGTTCGATTTCAATTTTTATACCCTACAACACTATGTATTGGGGGTATTATAAATTTGATTGGGCCAAAAATTATGTAACACCTCGAAATATTGGTTTCCCATATAGGAAAGTATATATGGATCTTCCTAGCTCGCCGAGCTGAGTCGATCTAGCTATGTACGTCCGTCCGTCTGTCTGTCCATATTAATTTGTAATCACTCTACAGGTCGCAATTAATTCCCGATCTTCACGGAATTTAGAATGTAGGTGGGGTTAAGGTTAGAATAGAACCCTATTTCTTTTGGAGATGATCGCATAATATTTAGGTTGAAATGGACCAATAACTGAAAAAATTTCATGATTTTGCAGTTGCTCTACGGGTCACAATTATTGACCAATCAAAGCGGAAGTTAGCATGGGGCTAGAGCTTAGGTCCGGGCAGAAGTCTTCCAATTTTAGTGGCCATAGGGTAATATCTAGTGGGTGAAATAGACCATAACATTTGTGTTAAATAAAAGTCAAATTTTCCATTAACCCCGAATATTTTTAATCCCGGCGAAATCACAAATAGACGAACAAGTCAATTCTAGCCGTTACGTAGATGCCGATAGTTAATATATCAGATATATATAGCGAAATATATACAATGTATATATACAATGGAATAGGATGTTTGCTAGAATGCTTATATCCTAAGAATGGCTGGGTCGATTTTGACAAATCTTGTCAATTCAGAATGCCCACTTTGCATAAAAGAATAAAATCTAAAAAAAATCGCATAAAAAGATGCTAATAATGATGTTAATATAGATTTTGTAGTATGTTGTGACATTTTTTTTTATTTTTTCATATTTTTTATCGTATGCAATTTTTTCAATTTGACTTATAATATAGCCAAATATCGTAGGCAAGCAAATCATATAGATGAGTCTAAATTTGGAGATATAGAGGGGCTGCTCGCTTTTGGAGATGATTGCAAAATATTTAGGGGTTCAAATTAACCAAAAACAGAAATGTTTTTCTGATCACATAATTGAAGCCAATCGACACGCCTGTGAAGAGAGTTAAGGACAGGGAAGAATTCTATCATTTTGGATGACCATTGGATTATATTTAGCTGTAAAATGGACCACAACAACTAACAGCCCGACGGAGTGCAAAGATATTGGGCAAATGTCCCTAGTCAAAATCCTAATTTATAATTCAAATATGGATTTGGACATAAGGGGGCTTCTAACATATTGTAGTGTTGTAGGGTATTACATAGTCGGCCCGCACGACTATAGCCTTTGCTTACTTGTTATTTTTAGCCTTTTGTGATTTATTGTAGACGAAACATTTTCTTTGTTCGATTTCAATTTTTTGAAATGTTCTCAGCACTTCATTATTTCTGACAATTTTATTTATTTAGTTGCCCTGCATTTATATTCCCACATTTTCTATACCTTTTCAGGATACTGTACTGCCCGAGGCAATTAAGTTCTGGGAACAAGCATTAATGGTACGACAAACAAAGGGTCCTATACGGCTAAATAGGTAAAAACTTCTTTGTATTATTTTCTAGGTTATATACACATACTACTTGACTCGTATACCAATTTGTTCGTCTCTAAGTTTGGCCATGAAAATCTTTAATTGCATTATTAAATTTTTTTCTTTTTTTTCGCAGAAAATGCAACAGCACACAAATCTATGTTAAAAATGGTCAAACACATTGCATAGACAACTGCCGGCCGGTGACCATGTGTGGTGAAGTTCAAGTACCCGAAGATCATTTGGATGTAAGTCGAAAATAAAAAAAATAATAATAATTATATTGTCATAAAAACCACATAAACATTGTGCCTTTTTATTTCCCCTCGTAAAGGTTTGTCGTGTCTGCAATGCCACTGGACAGAATTGTCGTGTCGATGAAACAACACAGGCTGGTGATGGTATTGAAAATACCGATTTCGTGTTTTATGTATCCGCACGACAAACGGAACGTTGTCACAAGGGTTTGACGGTGGCCTATGCTGCACATTGCCAACAAGAGGCTAGCCTAGATCGTCCCATAGCCGGTCATGCAAATCTCTGTCCGGACAGTATCAGTACCAAACCTCAGGAATTGCATACTCTCATATCGACGGTGAAACATGAAATTCTGCACGCGCTGGGGTTCTCTGTCAGTCTGTTTGCATTCTTTCGCGATGATGATGGTAATCCGAGGACACCACGTAATCCGGATACCGGTAAACCTCATCTAAATGAAGAGTTTGTATTTTCTAATTGTTTTTGGGTTTTTGTTAATTTTACGAGATTTTAATTATAATATCTGTTGCATATTTTTGCAGCCTTCAGATCCATCAATGGAGCAATACAACGATACGCAAAATAACCCGACAAAATTGGTCTGTGCGCGGTGGTCATGTGAACAAAACCATAGATATGATGGTTACGCCACGTGTTGTGGCCGAAGTTCGTAAACATTTCAATTGCGATAAGTTGGAGGGTGCCGAACTGGAGGATCAAGGCGGTGAGGGTACGGCCCTGACACATTGGGAGAAACGTATTTTGGAGGTAGGTATGAATTGGTTTGGAATATTTACAATGACAATCACTAGTAAAAAATTAAAATAAGGCATCAGGTCTATACCGTGGACTGGTTGTATTCTATGTACTGTCATTAATCATGCGTAGGCCAGCGTCCCTTTGGAATTACCTATAGAGCTCTTAGAGAGTTATTGCTGCCACAGAGCCAAAAAAAAGTATTCGACCGGACTCCGTAGTTGAAACTACTACCATTTTCAGTATCATACAAAACAGGACCGGTCAACCAGACTGTGAGTAATAATGTAACGAACAAGGAGTTGGAAGAATGTAACATAAGCTTAGTTTTTTCGGTGTGTAAGGCGTAGTCTACCCATATTTTCCGTTCTGGAACTGGCGAACGGCAACCTATTTATGTGATGGTACGAAAGAATGGGTTTCCCCATTTCTTCGTACCACCTACGATAAGAGGAAAGTGACCTCCAGGGACTGGTAAACCCAGAACTGTGTACCGAGGGTTGGTTAGTTCCGTTGTTTCTGAAAGAGGAAGGTACACGGGAATCGGCAGAACTTTGGTCCATTGTGTTCATCCTAGGAAAATAAAGTAGTGATAATAAACAAGTAAAAAAATATTAAGTTCGCCCGGGCTGAAACTTTTAATTCTCTCTGTAAACTAAAAAAAAAAACAAAGTGGTGGGTGAGGCTATGGCCGTTGGTATGGCCCCTATACCAAAACGGAAATTTGTAACCATTTCGTTGGTAAATGTGACTAGGGTTATTATTGTTGGGTGTCGTTATATGTGCGCTAAAAGAAAACGTGGACCTAATTATTCAATGTTCTGCCTCCGGAGCTACAACCAATTATGAACTACAAATACCAATTTTAAGACAAATCCGTGGAAAATGTGGCAAAAATCATCAAAATACTGAGTATTCGGAGGTACCATTATGTGGGGGTTATACGAAAACGTGAACCTGTACGTACTATTTTTCCGCCACAGGACCTAAAACCCATTACGAACTACAAATACCAATTAAAAAAATACCGAAAATTGGGGGTACTGTTATCTGGGGGCTATACAAAAACGTTGACTTATGCATACAATGTCTCGCCATCGGAGCTAGAACCCATTGCGAACTACAAATACGAATTTTTAGACAAATCCGTTGAAAATGTGGCAAGAATCATGAAAATACCGAATATCGGGATATACCGTTATATGGGGGCTATACAAAAACGTGGATCTATACATACAATGTTTCGCCATCGGAGCTAGAATCCATTGCGAACTACAAATACCAATTTTTAGACAAATTCCGAATGTGGGGAGGTACCGCTAAACCATAACGTGAACAGATATATCTCATTTTCTATACCAATCACCCTATACACAATACAAATTGTTCTGCTAAATTTTGAAGCTCTACTTCAAATAATGTGGGCTGTATCGTGATTTCAACAGACAGACGGGCATCGTTAAATTTTATGCTCATTATGAATATATATACCACCTTTTCAAGGTGGAGAGTATAAAAAGGAGATATAAAGAAACTAAAAAAGAAGAAAGAGATTTTTAAAATAAACTATTAATAGGGTGGATTGCAAATATAAGACATGCGTTTAGCAAACCAATAGATGATGTGAGGAACACTTTTACCCCTTTTTGAAGTCAGATATCTGATACTACAGTGGCCAGTCAACATGACTACTGCAATTCTTCATTTCTGGAGATTGCCGTCCGATGGCCTAAGATACTTAGGCTCTTTGATGAAGTCTTTTAATGGCACTTGATAGGTTTAAGGGCCGCCTATCGACATATATAGGCAAAGATCCTGTCATTCTATTGCAAAGTTCTCTTACCGTTTCGGACGATATTTCCGTCTGATAAATGTTACAATTAAGTTTATATGAGCATCTAATTATTGGATTAGGGCAGAATATCCCAGTACCAGTGCCTTCTTCCATCTAGGAATTGTCTGTTTAAATATCCAGAACATCCAGAGAAACTTCATCAGCAGCCCAAGCATCCCTATCAGATATTGACCACTTATAAGGAACTTGCAAATAAAACGTGGACTGTATACCCCATTGCGAACTTGAAATGCCAATTTTGAAAAAAAAAAATAGGTTAATCGGCAAAATAACAAAAATCGGATGTTACCATATGCGAAAATTAAGACCTGTTAGGTATTTTTCTTTCATAAGTATAGAATGAGATCATAAGAATTAGGTTAGGTTGAAAAGAGGGGCGAAACAATTGCCACATGTCCTGGTGGACAAACACTTAAGCCAGTATATGCCTGTTCTGGGCTCTAGACAAAAATGTTCTTTAAAGAAGACCGGCTGTTTATAGTCTATTATATTCGAAATTCACTTGCCTTAGAAAAATTCAAACGCTCCAATGTTTCGTCATCTTCCCCGCATGCCCTGCATATGCTTCTTCGTTTTTATCTCATTGGGGTCGCCCCATAGGTTTTTTGTGGTGTACTTAGGCCTTCATTGTTCGATATGCTCTAGTTTTACTGTTGACAATTCCCTGCCTGTTTTGGAGAGTTCGCTATCTCGATACCTCTAACTGCCGCATGACCTGGTACCCATATAATGTGTACTGAGCCGTGTTGAGAGTAGTTGTGGATTGAACACATGGACCTGTATGGGTAGTCTTCTGTCATATGACCCGATACAAACTTCAAATGTCAAATTGGAAATAATTCCAGTGAAAATGCTTTAGAAATCATCAAAATATTGAATATCAGGAGATACAGTTGTAGGGAGAATCTCCCAAAACGTCTTAAATATATGTCAGTACCCTTATATGGAGGCTATAATAATACGTGGACCTATATAAAGAGTTGTATTTGGTCTTCCTTTGTTCCTTTGATCGACCCGAGAGTTAAAAAAAAATTATTAAAAAATATTATTAATAATATATTAGTATATCAACCCCGACTTCCTCTCTGGATGTTCATCGGTATCTTAGTATCCACCAGATATACTCCTAAATACCTAGAAAGACCGGATTTAAAATGGTAAAATTTAAATTTTATAAATATTTCGATATAAATTTCGTGTTTCAACAACATTATACTTAACACTTAGTATGAAAATGTTTATAATTGACCTCCATAAAATCTTTATTTTTCAGAATGAGGCTATGACCGGAACCCACACCCAATCGCCAGTATTTTCACGCATTACCTTAGCTTTAATGGAGGACTCGGGATGGTATCGTGCCAATTACAGTATGGCAAGTCCACTCTCATGGGGCCGGGGTTTGGGTTGCAATTTTGTTATGCGCAGCTGTAAGGACTGGATACAATTGAATAATGCCAAGTAATATCAATTTTTTAAAAACAAACATTTCATTCTATTAAATTGCAATGTTCCATCCACTTTTAGAGGACACTCAATACATCCATTCTGTTCCAAGGTCAAACAAGATCCGCTACAAACGGAATGTACCGATGATCGAAATTCAGTGGCATTGTGTAACTTGATTCGACACAATTATGAGTTGCCGGAAAAATATCAGGTTGGTAAATGGAAAATCCGTTAAGAGAATTTTGTAATTTGTTTACATTCTGTTTTAGAATTTTGATAGCATAAGTAATATAAAAGACGGCGAAGAGGTATATTATGGTGGTTCCGTTGCCCTGGCCGACCACTGTCCCTATATACAGGAGTTTACGTGGCGCAATAAAAATGTTACAATACGTGGTTCACATTGTCACTTTGTGGAAAATAATCCAAGTAAGTTATAAAAATGTAGAGTTTTACATTGAAAATAAGGCGATAAATCTTATTTAAAATCTCCCCTTACAGAAGCTGAGAAAAACTATGCCTTGGAAAGTTATGGTCAGGGTTCGAAATGTTTCGATCATGGCGATGCCATGTGGGAGGAACGCAACTGCCACCACACCCGCGAATGGCAACATTGGGGTTCGGGGTGCTATCGCTATAATTGCAGCGATGGCCGCCTGCACATTTTTGTGGGAAATTATAGTTACACCTGCTATTTCCCAGGACAAAAACTATCGATTAGTATATCGGCCAATGATTGGTTACACAGGGGTGCTCTCATCTGTCCATCGTGTGAGGAAATGTGTGGTGAATATTTTGGGGCCCGTGACGAAGAGTGTCGCCTAAGGGAGGAAGCTCCACCGCTCAATAAATATCCACGCGACTATTTACAGTGTGGTGCCAGTGCATTGAGTGCTCTCTATTGGTACCATCAGCCAATCTTTTTAGCAATAGTTTCTATGGCAATTGTCCTTCTGTCGAGGAGTAGGCGGTAGGTGGACGACAATGGGTATGTCGTAGTAATAGTTAGCTGGATATGTATAGGTTAGTACAAATGTACATACGATATTAGTTATTAAGCCAATAGATAAATACAATGTATGTGTATTATATCTCCTGTCGGTCTGTATGTGTGTGAATGTATCTATTTTATTTATAGTTCTAGAATTAAGTGTATTGTTTTGTGATTAGTAAGTTTATATGTATATGTTTGGAAATATTTGATTTTATTTCAATTTGTCGATCTTAAGTAACTACTGTGTGCTGTGGGCATTCATTTAAACGAACGAAGATTTTTTATAATAATGACTGTGTTCCAATAGCCATTCCAATGAGAAACAACATGCGTTAACCTTCATAGCTTTTAAACAGAAATTTCCAAAATGGATGGATAAAAATGAAAACCTGATTTAAGGCAGCATTGCAGAATTCTACACAACCTGTGTCTATATTTCAAAGTCAATCCCAGAAAAAAACTAATAGTTCAAAATTCAAAGCTATTGTCATTGATAATCTAAGCGATTGGATGTCCAGCAACATTTCCAACTGTATCATTTCGAAATTAATTTTTAATTTCTTAGATCTGGAGTATTCCCCTCGATGGCTTAAGTTCGTATTTTTCTCTATTACAGAAAGTAATGTTTTTCGAAAAGAATTTTGTAGTTTTGCAAGTACCATGATTTCACCCGCCGAAGACAATGCTCATTTTCAGCTTTATAATTGGAAATCCGTCAACTGTAATATATATCCAAAATTTCAAAAAAAAAAAAATGTTTTTTTGATTCTGAGCTGTTACCCTGAAGTAAAGAAATCCATCCTGGCATTGATCCCTATCTTAAGCTATTCGTTGAAGGTATTAATAGAACGTTTTGAGAGTATAGTCTATACCTTGACTGTTAATCTTCTTGAAACGTCAGTGGCGGTCAATATCTGGTTATTTTGAATAGTTAAAATCTTGATATCAAATAAACATGTGGGTACCGCTCTCTTCTAGGACGATAGTCCTCTGAGCCGATCAGAAACTAGTGCCATCGTGTGAGTCCATTCTGCAATTCGTTACAAACAGTTGAAACCCGGGAACCTCTAAAGAATCCAACATAACTGCAACAGTCCAACATTTTAATATTATCCTCCATGACGGAACGGAAAATTGTACTAAAATGTATTTTAGGTCCGTAGTTCGCCCACGTTTTTAGCTCCGACCAATGGGTCCAAACTTTGAATGATTATAAATCTTATGATATGCAAAACAAATCAGGGATTTTTTTTCAAAAACAAGTCCATCTCACAACAACATTGCCGCTCCAAAAGTTTAGGAACATGACAACTTATTCTGTTTCCTGTTGAAGTAACCAGGTAACAGGTTGACCTCCAAATGTGAAAGACTCTAAATGTAAAGTTGAATAATTTATTCCAATGCTGGTCGATTCCTACATACTGTAAACCTTTAACAACGAAAAGGATGATGATTTCATTAGCAATCCAATATTCGTTTTTTTGGAATGGACACCAATGGGTCCAAATTTTGAATGATTATAAATCTAAAAAAGTCGACCACTACATTGCTGCTCCAAAATTTTAGGAACATGACAACTTAGTCTGTTTCCTGTTGAAGTAACCAGGTAACAGGTTGACCTCCAAATGTGAAAGACTATGTAATTGTAAAGTTGAATAATTTATTCCAATGCTGGTCGATTCCTGTATACTCTAAACCTTTAACAACGAAAAGGATGATGATTTCATTAGCAATCCAATATTTGGGTTATTTTTTGGAATGGACACCAATAGCTCGCAATGCCAACTCATCGTTTTAGATTCTGATTCTCCACAATGCTACTTAGGTTCATAGTTATACCCTACACCATAAAGTGGTAAGGATATTATGTCTTTTTTCCATTTTTTTAACAGGGAGAAGAAAGCGAGATAGGCCCATAGTTACTTTTGAGGATATTCATAGAGTCTCTTTCTGAGACGATTTATGCATGTCAGCCCATCCATGTATTCTTGTGAACGAAATGCAGATCGTATTTATTATCCGATTGAGATACAATTCTCCAAAGAATATTGGTTTGGCCCAAGAACGAACCCTATTAAAATTGTGCACCAAATGGCCAATATAAGTCCTAATAACCTGAGTTTTGGTACATCCCACCGAATTCACTACATCAAATTTGGAGAAAATTGGTTCAGACATAGCTAAAGTTCCCATAAATAGGTTTTATCCGATTTGGGGTTTTAAGTCCCTCACTTGCGTAATATGCCCTCCACAAGAATGATATTTAATACGGGACATCAGATACTGCTCGAAAATACCTCTATCAAATTTTATCAAGATCGGTTCAGATTTGGATATAGCTCCCATATACATGTTTATCTGATATCAGGCTTTTTGTGCACCAAATCGCTAATATCAGCCCAAATGGACTGAATTTTGGCAATTACGACTGAATTCATCCTAGAAACCAGTACTTCAAATTTGGTGTAAATCGGTTCAGATGTAGCTATAGCTCCCATACATATGTTTTATCCGATTTGTGATTAAAAGTCCCTCACACGCGTAAAATGCATTCGACATCAGTGACATTTGGTACCAGATATGTTATAGAGCTCAGAAATACCGTTTCCAAATTTTATCGAGAACGGCTAAGATTTGGATAAAGCTCCCATATATATCCTTATTCCGATATCAGTTTTGTTGTGCAAATAATGGCTAATATCAGCCCAAATGGAGTGAATTTCAGGGCGTACCTTTCCATTTTGTGGAACTCGGCTCCAATATATATATTTTTAATATGATCCTTCCCGAAGTGATATCATGTACTCTATTGCAATGTTATTTGGTTTAAAAAGTTAAAATGTCTCCGTCAAAATTAGTTAAAAACGATTCAGAATTGGATATGCCTTCCCTATATTAGTTCCATCTGAATCCAAACTAACTACTACTTCAGATAATTTTTTTTTGTTACGGGAGCTTTACTAAATCGGCATAGTGGTGTAGGTTATCATATAGTCGGCCCCGCCCGAATTTTGACTTTTCCTTGACTTTCTAATATATTGTTGATGCCAATAATCCGTGGACATATTTAGAAACGCTTATGTGAATATGGTTATTTACAACATTAATTTTTATCCATCCATATACTATAACTGTATATTCCAATCACACAAAGTTTTTAATAAAAAAAAATCCGTCGGTCCACTTAAAATATTAATTTAAAAAATATGCAATAATTTTTATTGAAAAATACCCAAAATTTATCGGCAGCTATAATTCGTCCATAAAAATAAATCTAGAGTTCTGTTTTTGTAATTGTATAGCCATTAGCAATACACACACATAACTATGTACATCACAACTACGTTGTATATTCCACAAGCATTTTTATCTTTTAACAATTATATACACATATTTATTTACAATATGTTTAATTAAAACAAGTATTTATTATATTCGAATTATTTTTGTTTGTTCTTTTTTTGTCTTGTTTCTTGGCCACAATATTAATGGCCGCCATATATTATTATTGTGTATCAAATTCAATTTTCTTTTGTATTGATTTTTTTCATTAAAGAAGAAAACACAAACGAAATAATAATAAATCTCTAAAACATTCCTTTAAGACTTTATGCATAGCTTCTCCCACAATTAGCTATGTTTACCTTACTCTTTTTTTATATACATATACAAACAAACATACTTATATTTAACTATATATATACATTCATAGATATATATTTATAAAATGTATTTAATAACAATTATGTTGCAATAACAATTGTAGCCTTACACCCCTCTCCCCCCAATGGCGAATAACATTATTTGTGTTTCTTTGAGGGGTGATGGGGTGAAAGGTGAAAATTTGATGATATTTTTAGAGATTATCTGTATTTCTTTATGTATTATTGTATGGATGTAACGATGATATATATATTTTTCAAATATACAACAAGAAATAAATACAAATGTGGATTTTTGTAATCCAATGTGCATTTTAAGAAAATTAATAAAGAAGAATGTAGTTTTAATTTAATGCTAACATCAACGTATTTTGCCGAATAGTATCCTGGTTTCTTAAATTTCTCATGTGGACGAAACACTTAGCAAGTTTGGACAGCATTAGTCTGCAGGTTTCTGCGGGCAGGGGAGAATTTTCCAGAAAAAAAGTTATTTGTGAAAAATGAGCTCGGGGTAAAGCCATTGAAATGCCAAAAAGTGCAAGAACTTACACCGCAACAGAAAGAAAAAAGAGAACCGCTAAAGAGTTGCTTCGCTTGGCCGAAAGTGGTGAACTGCCGAATTTTGTTTTCTCTGATAAGAAAATATTCGATGTCCAGCAGTTTGTAAACAAACAAAATTATCGTGTTTACTTGCCAAAGAGTTCAGCTGAAAATGTGCACCTTCGGTTAGCCACCAGAACTCAAGCGCCAGCCATGGTTATGGTGTGGGCCACCGTAGCAGCCGATGCTCTTCGCTCGTGGCATCAGAATAAATGCCGAATATTATGGAGAAAATATTATGGAGGTGCATTAAAGCCTTGGGCACGTAAACATTTTGGCCGCAAACCTTGGACATTCCAACAGGACTCAAAACCATCTCACTCAGAACGCGCCACCCAATAATGGTTACACAATAAGGTTCTTCGCTTCATTTCCAGCGCATAATGGCCACCAAAATCCGTTGGACTATTGTGTATGGAGTATTTTGGAAAGCAAGGTTGGCACTAAAAATGCCAATGAAAGCACAAAGTGGCAATATTAATTTGGTTAACAAATTTGTCAAAAACCTTCAAAATACTTTAATTCGGGAGGTGTCTTTATATGGGGGCTATATTAAATAGTGGACCAATGACCGTTTTAGAACCGAGACAACATAAAAAACGTTAGTCCGAAATATTAAAATACAGCTAATATTGCTTCAAATTGGGGCTGGAATCTTCAATATGACAAAAACGTGGATATTTATAATTTATTTTCAATATAAAATTTCATTCAATTATCATGAATGTTGAGACCTCTATCTTGATTTCAACAGACGAATGTTATCTCCATGTGGTCTCCGACTAATATTTCGAGGAGTTACATACGGAATGGAAAACTTAATATACCCACCATCGTATGGTGAAGTGTATAAAAAAAACGATGATTAAGCGATTTTGACTCTTTCGCTTAACCAATATTAAAGAAGAGCCATCTATATTTCAAATAATAAACTACTATATCAACATGTCATTAAATACTAAAACCATCATTGCGTCGTTGTACATGTACGTATGTATGCATTACGTGATGTAATAACTGTGAACTTATTATCGAATGGCTAAAAGCATGCTTTAGTTTATTGCAGAACAGAAATATCTCCTTTGTAGATATACAAAAGCTGGTGGCTATAACTCTACACATTTAGCGAGGACATAGGTATTTTTGTGACAATATTTATGGTTCAAAAGTATGCTAAAATTTTATGTATTTTGAAACTTAGTAATAAATACAAAAAAAAAAAAAATATTTTGCTTTCAATTATGAAATCAAGATGACGGTTACATGCTGTGAAATTTGACAATAGAAAGTCAGTTTTGTATTATTATGCAGGTGGCTCTCAGAACGCTTGGAAAGGGGGGAATATTAAATTTGTCATTCCGAAATTACGATACAGCTCACATTATTCGAAGTAGAGCTTCGTTTAGCTAGTTTAGTTTGCATTGCACTAGGATGGTTGGTATTGAAAATGAGATATATTGGTCCACGCTTTCGGATAGCCCCCATATAACGGTACCTCCCGATGTTCGGATTTTATATAGTTTTAGACACATATTTCCTCCAATTTGTCTAAAAAGTGATAATTGTAGTTCGTTATGGGTTCTAGCTCTAGTGGCGGAACATTATAGGTCCACGTTTTCGTTTAGCCCTCTTATAACGGTATCTCCCGATTTTCGGTATTTTGATGATTTTTGCCTCATTTTTTCACGAGCTTGCTACGGCTACGGCTAGAGAACGTTGGTTTTATAGATCCACGTTTTGGGATAGCCCCCATTTTTTGCAACATTGTTCAACGGATTTGTCTAAAAATTGGTATTTTTAGTTTTTAACGTGTTCTACCTCCGGTGGCAGAACTTTGAAAATTTAGGTCCACATTCTATAGTGCACGTATAACGATACCCACCGATACTCGGTATTTTGATAATACCAGTCACATTTACCCACAAAATTTTAAAAATTTTGTTATTTGAGAGGATTTGGTAGAGAAAATCCTTGAAGTATAAAATTGTTTATGGAAGTTCCGTTTTGGTATGGCTCCCATACAACGGTCTCACCTATTCATGGTTTTACCGAAGCTAGAACCCATTTTGGAACCATTTCTGCTGATGTTGCGGCTTTCTTCCGTCCATTTCCTTGACGTCGGGCTATGCTACCAGGTACGAGACACAAAAGATTTATTCACATTTAAATGCTGGAGTTCTGTAACGATAGCTACTTGTGGCCAAATATAAAGAAATCACACTATCATGCTTGAATTCCATCAGGAATAACTTTTTTCTCGAACATTTTCACCAAAATGCTTTTGTAGACTTGTATACTACGGTTCGGTATATAAAATATAGCACGATATTCGGTATTTTGATAATCCTAGTCACATTTACCTACGAAATGATGTCCAATTTGGTATCTAAGACTCGCAATAGATTACAATTTTTGTAGTATAAAACTGTCTATATAGTCTCCCGTTTTTATACCCTACACCACATAGTGTTAAGGGTATTATGTCTTTGTGCATTTGTTCGCATTTATCATCCGATTGGGATGAAATTTTGCACAAATCATTTGTTTGGCCCAATGAAGAACCCTATTGAAATTGGAGATAATCGGTAAAAATTTAGATATAGCTCCCAAATATATATTCGTCCGATTTGCCTTTTATTGTGCACCAAACGTGTAATATCAGCCCGAATAGTAAGTCTGCCAAATTTGATCAAAATCGGTTCAGATATAGCTATAGCTCCCATATATATGTTTCATCCGATTTGTTATTTTTGTCCTCCGCAGCCATAATATGAACTCTGTAACAGAAATATTTAAGTTATACAAATGCTTCGGCATATTTAGTCCTTTGAACTTTAAATTATAATTATAATCATAGCGTGTATGATTGAATTCTCCCATAAAAACTTTTAATTGTTACGTGGAGCTCTACTAAATTAGCAAAGTGGTGTAGGGTATCATAAAGTCGGCCCCGCCCGACTTTAGGACTTTCTTTACTGGTTTATTACTGGTTTACTGGTTTATTACCTTTTTATGACCTAACCTAAATGGGAATTTATAGATCAAATATTGAGAAAGCCTAGTGTATAGATCCACGTTTTACTATATCCCCATATAACATTCGAATATTTAGTATTTTAAGATTTTAGCAATATTTTCTAACGTTGATTGTCTTTAATTTTGCATTTGTAATTCGTAATGGTTCTAGCTCCACATTTTGCTATAACGCCCATATTCCATATGTTTTTGAATTTATTACTTAAATCAATTAGAAAATGGTTGCCCCTTTTTTATGGTCCACCAACCATATTATATTTAAAAACTTTAACTGCATTTTCAATGCTTTGAATCCAGATACTTTTATTTAATAATGTTTTTTATACCTCGTGTTGGAGGGAGCGACTTTTACTTTTTTATTTCATTGTTTGCAGTTCAAAATAACTGAAGTGTTATGGTATATCGTATGATCGACCCCTCTTACTGTTGCTTTTTAACGTGTCAAATTATAAACGTGAGCTCGTTCAGGCCTCTGGACAGAAATTTAAAATCAATTATCTTCTTTCCTCAAAATAAAATCAAAAAAAAAAAAAAAAAAACTATAATTTATTGACATGGGTTCACCAAATTATCCTTATCCATGTCATTAAACGGACAACACTTTGAACAAACACTCTAAAATCGCGTTTGGCAAAAATTAACTTTCCTCGGGTGAGCCGTAAAGAAGCTGAGCACACAAAGAGACACAAATAAATCATAAGACAGAAATTCAGGCTTCTGACTTTGTAGACAGATTGCCAAGAAAATCGGCAAAGTGAATTCTCATATTTTGGCACAGAATGAGTTTGCTAACTTCGAATAAAATCTGAGAGAAAAATATTTTTGTTGTGGGCTTTACGACTTCCTTTGTGGTTCTCTTTTATTGTTGTTACGTGTTTATAATTTATAATAATCAAGTATAACAATAAGAAGAAGCAAAAGCGCCAACAAGCAACGAAGGCGTTTATTTTTTTCGATCCATTAAATATTTTAGAGGCAATAATCCTTTTCTGTTGTCGGATGTTTGATGTTGGTGCAAAAAAAAAAAAAAAAAAAAAAAAAAACAAGTAAAAAACAAGTAAAAAACCGGGCCGAACTTTTAATACCCTCCACCATTTGGTACAAATAAATAAAATCCGTTTAAATTCTGTTAAAATCTTTAAATACCGAATGCCTATACGACGACGTAGACCTGCATAGGCAACTTTTGTCATAAGTTATTACAATATTTAAATGCGAAACTTGAAGAAAAATCTGTTTATAATGTAGCTAAAATCATCAAAATACCGAATATAGGGGGTACCGTTGTATGGGGGCTATACGAAGGCGTGGACCTGCACAGACAATTTTCTGGTATGGGCTGAAGTATCTATTACGAACTTCACATGCGAAATTTGAAACAATCCCGGTAAATAATGTCGCTAAAATCATCAAAATACCGAATATCGGGGGGTATGGTATATGGGGGCTATACGAAGACGTGGACTTACATGGCCCATTTTCTGTTTTATGCTGCAGTATCTATTGCGAACTTCAAATACCAAATTTGGAACGATTCCGTTAAATAATGTCATTAAAATCATCAAAATACCGAATATCGAGGGTACCGTTATATGGGGGCTATACGAAGACGTGGACCTGTACAGGTAATTTTCTGTCTTAGGCTATAGTATCCATTACGAACTTCAAATACCAAATTTGAAACGATTCCGTTAAATAATG